AACTTGTTAGTCATACCCTTCACTAGATCATCTCCTGGGACAACTTTCTCCTTAAAGGTAGAATTAGCCTCCCTACCCTCTTCACCCATGCTGACTAAGTTGCCTTCTCTTTCCTCACCTTCCTCACTGGGGTGGGTCTTTTCAAGCTGATCTTCCTATATCTTCAATCCTTCCCTATCCTCTTTCACTATCCCCCCTTGCATTCCATTATGACCTCTTTCTGCCTCACTCTCCTCCCATAGATCCTTAAATAATTCCTTTACTCCACATGAACTCCATCCCTTTCCTTTCAATCTCCTTGATTTCAGGTAGCAAAAAACTAGGTGAAGCAGAGCAAAGGATGGGAGTCAGTGAATATGTCAAAGCAATGGTAGCAACATTAGTACCAAAAACCAAACCATCAGAGTTACAAGGGTTACCATAAGAGGATGAAAGAATATAGGCACAAAATGCAAGGTGTCCAGGACCCCGTCATTGCCCTATTCCTGTTCTGAGCTTGCTTCCCCTAGCAAGTCAGATTGGACTAAATGTAAGGTATCCATGTTTACATCGGCTTGTAAAAACCTTGGCCTTGCCTCCCCAAGTAGAGTTTCAATGGAGGTTGGATGAATCGACTGCATTTCCAATGTCCGGACACTCTGATCTTGTTGCTGACCCATAAACGGTTCCTTATCTTTTAGAGAAATAGTAGGCCCTAGAAAGAAAGTCGGGTGCAACAAACAAGAAAACAACTCCAAATGGATTGGTAAGTTCTCAACACAGCCCAAATCAAGTCGCACCCCTTTCACAACCATAGTTGTCAAGGTGACGCCTAGGCGACAAGGCGCCTTTTGAGGCTCACCTCGCCTAATCGCCAAGCAGTTTTGTACCATGTATTGTAAAATATTTTTTTTTGTTCTTTATTTTTTGACATTATAATTATAAAATAGCCACTGTTAAACTAAAATATTAATTTTTTGTGTTTATATACTAATTTATTTTTATTATTTTCTTATTTGTTAGGATTTAATCAATACAAACATTGCCAAATGCTGTATTGAACCCTCAAAGACTTTAAAACCTGAACCAATAAGTAAGGAAGAACTTAAAATTTTGTCTAATCAACACATTTTCTACTACTACTACTACTACTTTTTCTTTTATTCTTTTCCTATAACAAAAATAAGGGTTCAGCCCCTATATTTTTTGAATTTTCTTTTCCTTCTTTTTTTCTTCTCATGAATATGTTGATTTTCTATACTTTAACATGAACTCTATACTTTTCTTACGAAAATTATGAATAATTATTAAGGAAATATGGCTATGGTACCTAGGGAACTACCCTAGGATCTATTTTTCTATATAAAAAAATCCATCGCCTAGGCGACAAGGCGCCCCCGTGACGCCCAGCCTCGCCTTGGCGCCTTGAAAACTATGCTCACAACTTCCTCCATAAATGTCGAATCCTCCTTCGAATCACTCCCCCCCCCCCCCCATTCTGAACATGTTTCTCCTCTCTGTCAGTTCTAACAACTGTAGAGAATGTATCACTTACTTTTTCCATTGAGAAAAGAGAGAGATGCCCCTACTCCAATAAGACCTGGATGGTACATTGCCAATACTGGACTCATAGTCAGCAGTGCTCTCCTCTTTAGAATCTTCACAATTTATCCATTTCCCATCAAATTCCTCCTTCCAATCCTCCCTAGTCCTAGAATACCTTGGATTAGGCTTATCTTGGTTTGAAGATTAGGGCTTCGCCCACTATAATGAGACTTCTTTAGAACCCTACAGCCTAGGGCACCAAGGGGGACAATGATGGAGCTTTCTTATCGTCCCCCAACGTTAAACCTCCCCTTCTCCTATTCTCACGTGACTCTAATAATGTACCCAGTTCGACCAAGAGGTTAACCCTTGGTTTTTCTCCATGCCCACCAGACCCCTTTTACTATGTAGGAAGTTTTTCCTCCTTTGTCCACCGTTCAATAAAATTCAAAGTATTTCATTCTTTAAAAGGAGAAGAAGTGCCTCCGAATAAGGCCTTTGACATTCCACCTTCCCCTTTTAGGTTTCCCCCATTATGCAACACTTCTGTCTCTCCTCTACCACCTAGCTTCTGACCCTCCACGTCAACCTCTTCTTCCTCCTTCCCCCTTACACAGTTCCACCTCCACTTCTGACACCATCCACACCCTATGCCACTGATCGTTGGTGAAGGATTATGATTGTAGTACTGCTTCTGACTTGCACACCAATTTTCAGAGTCACCCCCTGCAAATCCAACAAAGTTTTGAATTGGGATCTGCTCCTCACACCAACCTCACATGAACATCTCACCATGCATTATAAGTATGGGAGATGTTCCCAATGCATGGTAGGATGTGCATGTGAGGTCGGTGTGAGGCATCCTGTGTGAGGAGCAGATCCGGTCTCCGAAGTTTTCTCTACCATGACACCACCACAAACAATGGTGATCTGGTTCAACACCTGGTTCGTACAAAGTTAAAAGGGAGCCCAATGATCCTGATAATAGAAGCTTTTCACAACCAACTCTTTTTCATTACAGGTGGGATTCCAATTCTTAATCACCATTTTACCAGCTCTAGTGCGCACTAAAGCTATGTCCTCCTAGACATCATCTATTTCAAGAATTGTAGCTTTTTCCTCAAACGGCCATGAAACACCTTCTCCTTTGATGGGAAAACCTCCATAATATCACCCAATACCCCTTTCCAATCTTCCACTTTTCATTCCACTCTCACCACCTTCCGCCTTCGCCAATCCTCCAAACTTCCATTTACCATTAATCTCAAATGCACAGCCACACCAGAGAAACCTCTCACCAGTTGCGATTTTTCCACCTCAACCTAACTAACCTCGAGTTATTTAGCTTACAACACTTTCAATTGTGTTTTCATCATTTTTGTTGCCTCCTTTGTTAACCACCTTCTCTGTGCAAACTCTCCATAGCCTCTAAAATCAACCTCTAGCCTTGTTTTCCTCTCCCTTATGGGAAATACACCAGTTGCCTCCTACCATTCCCAAATGATTCTTGCAACTCAACGAAACATCCCTTACCATTGCTTCTCTTCTCAACGAGAAATTTCTTCCCTACACAGCTCGTCTCACCCTTCCAACCAGGTGTGATAACAGCATGGATAGTACCCTCAATTTTTTTATTTTTTCAAATAGTAAAAGAAAAGATTCCTTAAAAGGAAAAAAAAAAAGATACTACAATCACTCTAGTGTTGAGGGAAGGGAACACCTAGGCATAGGCAAATAGATTACAAAAAATTCCAAAATTACAAATTTGTAGTTCAAAGCATTCTAAAAGTCAGCCCCTAGCTCTGATCAACAAGCATGATCCAACTCAGGTAAGATGAACACCCAATCTGCAACAGATGTTCTGAAGGTTGCCACAGTTTTCTCAATCTTCCATCGTCCCCACCTTCTATCCTACTTTCAAGAGCACACAAGGGTCCCAAATTGTCACTATTCCTCCAGAAATACTACTTCATTCAGTACCATTCAAACCCCACAACTCAAGCCCCAAATTCAGAATTATATCTCACATTCACTCATTCCAGCTTTGATACTTCAAGCATCACCACCTCTGGCTTATATTTCTGATCAAGTTTCTAGGCACCACCCGCCTTCTAATTTCCTTTAAACCTCTGAAAATCCACCTAAGTATTTTTATCCCCTCCTTTCGTTCTTCTTCTTCTTTTTCTACTTCCCTTTCCCTATTACCTCTTCCACTCCCCTCCTCTTCTATCTTCCCCTTCCAATGCTTCCTCCTAAAACTCCCCTCCATCCTGAATTCACCTCCCTCCACCAATTTATCTGATCTCTCTCTCCTCCCTTCTCCTCTTCTTGAAATGCTCAAACTCCTTCCTGGCAAACCCCTCTCCTCCCCAGAAGAACAGGCTGTTAAAACCCTCCTCCTTTTGTTAAAATCCTTATCCGCCCGACTGCTCCCTTCGCTTCCTCCGAACTCTACCAGTCTACCTTTTTCCCCCACCCTTCTCTCCTTACCAATACTTCCCTCTGGCTCCTTCCTTTTTTTAGCCAAGACAAGCTCATGAGAAAAGGGAACACAACTTACCTCTTCAGGTTCAATCGTCCTCCCCATCTCCCTAGAACCATCAATGAAGCCCTTGAACCAGTCAACAGCCACTCTATTTAAGATCACTTTTAATCTTTTGTCTTCCCTGATCTTTAGTGTTAAACCTCCACCTGATCTTTGAACAAGAACCTCTTCTTCTCCACCACCAGCTCCTTTTTCCACTTTGTCGCTGGTATGAAGGTCCTTTCAGCTTCCAACACCGCTTGTTTTGTCGTCGAAATGACTTTCTCGCAAGCCCTTGGTTCCTACAAAACTCCCTCTTGGGACCACCTTTGCTTTGTAGGTGGGTTTTTAACATAAAGTTGGCAAGCATGTAATGGCTAATTGTGTATAGAGGTGGAGAAATGGCTAACCACTTGTCTCTGGTTTGCTAGGTTGTGTCAAATATATAGTGCTCCTTTGTTCACACATAGAGAGTTGATTGGAGGAATCCTACATGTTCTATCCCCCTTCAATTGTGGCCAGCAATTTCATTTGAGACAATGGAAGCTGCACCATGGAGGACCACACCTTGTACTTTATGGGACAGATGGAAGGAGACAAATCAAAGATTGTTTTAAGGTAGATTGTGTCCATTACATAAGATTGTTCATCAATGGCCTGCAAAGATTTCAAGGATATAAACCGACCTGATTTTGATTCAAAGTGCAAAGAATTAATTCATCATTAAGCCAAGTATAGTGGGCACTTTTATTCTTAGTGAAGAATGTATCGATTCATGGAAGTGCTTTTAGTTGGGTGCCTTCTCAGCCTCCCTTTTCACAAATAAAATTAGTTTATTACCAGTAAAAATGGATTGATAAATAAAATGGATCTATTACCATAAACCCGCAAAGTAATAACTAAACATGATGCCCCCACAATCTATTACCAGCAACTTCTGGGTCAAACTCACCTTACATACTCATGGCCCCATGAACCAATATCTCCCTCTGAACCCAATAATCTGTATTTCAGGCTTTCCTGTAAGAGTAAACAGAGGAAATATTCAATCAACTAATACCTAGAGAAAAGGAACAATCCCTTTTTTATCAGCTGAGAAGGAAAGAACTCTAAACAATTAAAATATATTACAATATTAATTATTTCCAGAAATTTTTCACCCAACGGAAACTAAAAACAATGACAATCAAAACACTGTAAAATATTCTATCGAAAAGATTGGCAAGTTTGTAGTTTTGTACAAAACACTTATTCATCCAAAGGATCATAAGAATGGGCTTTAAATGATAACAGTGTTTGCTCAATCAAAGAGAGCAAACACCTCTTGTATACTTTGTTTTTTTAATGATTTTTGATAGGTTAATGATTTTTATTTTACTATAAAAAAGAACACTTTCTCTTTTTTTGAAGAGTAAAGAAGAAAATTTATTAAAATAAAAAGGAAAGCTACACACTGGTTGGGTGCCAAGGTGGCACACCACACCAGTTAATCACTAAGAAATGAGTTTACATTACAAGCTGGAAAGAACCTCCCAAAAGATTTTCCACCAAATCTCCACTGTTTACTTGCTCAAATTCTGGGAGGACCAGAAGCCAGCTTGAAACAAACTTTCCAACTGAAGCCACCAAAACTTCAATGCATTTTGTTTGTCCTTGAACAGTCTTCTATTCCTTTGTTTCCATAATGTCCAGCACACTGCAAAAGGAATACTACTCCAAATAATTCCTGTTTTCTTGCTTCCTCTAAATCTTGGCCAAGAAGAGAATATTTCTGCAGATGAGGAAGGCTGAAATACAGGAATGCCAAACAGGAAAGAATGGAACTTCCATATGAAGTTTTCCACTTCACAGGAAAAGAACAAGTGCCACATAGATTCCTCTAAATCTTTGTTAGACAGTGTATGCCCTTAGCTCCAATCAGATTGATGTACCGATACATTTATTGTAAACGAGTAAAAGTACATAATTGTTTCATGTTATGATTGGTGTGTTTCTGTGTAATTATCCCTTAAACTGGACACTTATGAGACTCGTGTTAGTTTAGAATGTTCTCAGCCGTTGGATAGACTTGGGGAGTATATCTTGCCAAGGCCAACACTAATGTGCTGCCAAAGAAGTTGGGGCAGCTTGTCTCAGTTGCTAGGGTTGGACCCGAAGCACATGTAGTGTGTGCTTGTTTGAAACACTGAACCCGGACCATTTTCCAGTTATGCCCTAGACCTTGGAGACTGATGGGCAAAACTGGAAAGTTACACATAACCACTAGACTCAATTATGGTACTACACTGGGTGTCGGATTGGGTTGTCTTTGATATGCCAATCAGTGATGTCCTTTGGGGGGTCAAAACCTGGGTATGTTGGGGCATTCTAAGAATTCACTCGAGTGGGTGATCATAGTGACAGAATCAACCCCTTTGTCAGACAAAGTGAATGATTGGGATTGCACTCTCTCTGATGGAAACCAAAAACTACCGGCAGTCGATATCAACCGTGTTTGAGATTTGTTTTGCAAAATATATTTATATAATATATATACATATTAATATTATGTTTTAAGAAAAGGGTTTGCAAAAGGTTTTAATTCCCGGGACCCATCCGAGCAGAGTGCAACACGCACCTTGTAGCCAAGGGAGAGGTCCTTCCCTGTCGGGCAATGTTTGACTATTATGGACTGAGAGGTTAAGTCTAAGAGACCATTAAGGGCTGTTTTACCTAATGAGCTATATCTTACTTAAGTCCATTGTCCTTGGGCATTCATAGGATGGCTGGACTCAAGGATCATTTACTATAAACGTTGGACCCATTAAGAGCCCATATTGATGGACTCAAGGGTTCACTGTGCTTGATAGTGAATTCGGCCAGGCCTTTTCACAGAGGCTGGACCGAACCCATGTGGGCTTATGTGAGGTCATTGTTGGGGTCCCATGCCATACAAAATGAACCTAAATGAGCCAGCAACTATCTAGGGACGTGAGCTTCTTGTTTAATGGGCTTAAAGCCCATGATTAATTGGATTAATCAAGTAATCACATGACTACTTAAGTAGTCATGTGATTTGGGCGAATATAGGTACGGATATGGGTTTGGAGCACCTAGTCTCATAAGAGGATAAGTCTTATCCACTTATAGAGTCCAGATCCAAATAAAGGTTTGGATTAGGAACCTCCTAATTCGATTAGGAGTAGGTGCTACTTAAGGCTTATAAAAGGAGAGGGCGAACTGCTCTAGATCATCTTCTGCTCTTGCCGCCCTGACTCCCTAGTTTGACCTCCAATTCTCGTGACTGATCTTGATCAATTTAATCTCTGATTTTTGCAAGAAAATATCAGAGAAAATTCGTGCTCACCTCCCTTGTTCGATCCAATCAATTGGATTGCAATTTTGCTGAAAACTGTGTTGCTGAACCGGCTTCAATTCAAGTTGTGCCATCTTCAGTGGAGGCTGGTTTTGGGATTCAGTTTGGGCATGAACTACCACTTTGGGAGCTACATTTGTGGAATACGTATCAGGTATACTTCTCCCTTCCTTTTGGTTTCAGATCTGGTCCGGTTACGGTGCAAGAATGATCCTTGAAAAATGCAATTTTTCTAAAATTGGGAATACGATTCCTAGAAGGTTGCAAGAAAATTTTTGAAATTTCGCCCAACCATCTAGCATAGTTCGGTCATCCATATGATGGATTTAACCTTCCTTCAATCTAGCCATGTTGAACCCTCTACTCTTCAAATGGTATGTTTTTAGGATGATGTCTAAGACAACCAACCAACCAGGCAAAAGCTTCCACTCTTGGGGACACCAAACCAGCTGATCACAGAGTTGTACTGTAGACCAGGCTAGTGGCAGGCCAGAACGGACCAGTATGACAAGGGATGTGCATGGCACGGCACAGCCACTACAATACCATGTTGTGCTAGGGCACAGCATAGGAATCCAGGCTGTGTTGGGCCTAGGCTGTAGAGGGGACCGGACCCCTAAAGCACAGCACAGCTAAGCACACGGGCCGGCCCAACACAACCCGAATTTGATAATTTTTTGTAATATTTTCAATTTTATTTGAGAGTTATTTGTAATATTTTCCAATAATCCAATCCCATTGTAATTTTTATCTTCAATTTTATCATTTTATTAATTCAACTTCATTGTATTATTTTTTTCAATGTATTTTTTATTTTTTGTACACATTAAATTTGAAATGAAATAAAATTTTTACAATTTTTTCCAACTTATTGTCCATTATTCATGTTAATTTTCTTCTATTATATGTTTTTTTTTATTTTTCTAACTTAGTTTAGGAAAATTGGAAAAGAAAAGAATTGGTATGGCCCGAGCCTGCCTTGCCATGGCCCAATTCCTCAAGCCCGACACAGCACAGCCTAGCACAGTTGGGAACCGGGCCACTGGCCATGTCAAGCCTGACCAAGGAAGGGAACTGGGCTACCCAAGCATGGCCTACCAAGGCCCAAGGCATTGCACAAATGGCGTTTGAGCTGCCTTCAATCCATGTCATGTCAGCACGACACGGCCCACATTATAGGTCTAGCTGGTCACCTCTAGTCTCATAGCATTGAGCAATCTCCACTTGTTCGACTAACCTATACAATCTTAGGCAAAGATCACACAACTTTCCAACCCCACTCCAGTCCTCTTCCCTAAACCTCACTCTAGCCCCATCTCCCACCCTAAAACTCACCAAGCCCCTGAACTCCTGATTTAATATCATAATGCCTTTCAATACACAAACCCCATAAGGGCTTGAGACCTTTCTCAACTCCCCCCAAACCTTTATCACCACCCTTCTCCATAAAGACTCCTCCTCCAACCCAAACCTCCAAAGCCACTTGTCCAAGAGGGCTTTGTTAAAAGTTTTAATTCTTCTAAACCCCAACCCCATCTCTTTCGTCCTGCATACTTTTTCCCATTTTACTAGGTGAAACTTCTCCATCCCCCTTGCCACTTCCTAAAGGAAATTCCTCTGCAACTTCTCTATCTTATTGGCCACCTCAGTTGGAATTTTCAACAGCGAAAGCTAATAGGTGGGTAAGCTCAACAACGCACTGCAATAAGTGTAATCCTACCACCATAGTTGCCAAGGCAACGCCTAGGCAACAAGGCACCCTCGGAGGCTCGCCAAGCAGTTTTGTATATTGTGTTATAAAATACTTTTATATTATTAACTTTTTGAGATTTTAATTATAAAATAGACATTATTAAACTAAAATATTCATTTTTTGTGTTTACAAACTAATTTACTTTTTATTATTTTCTTACCTGTTAAGGTTTAATCAACATAAGCATTGCCAAATGCTGTATTGAACCCTCAAAGACTCCAAAACCTGAACCAAATCAACCAATAAGTAAGGGGAAGAACTTAAATTTCTTTTTCTTCTTCTTCCACCTTTTCTTTTCTTCTACCTTTTCTTTTCTTCTTTTCCTATAACAAGAATAGGGGGGTTCAGCCCCTATATTTTTTGAATGTTCTTTTCTTTCTTCTTTTTCTTCTCTTAAATACGTTGATTTTCTAGACTTAAACATAAAGATTATACTTTTCTTATGAAATATTGAAAATTATGGATAGTTATTAAGGAAAAGTTTAAGGGACCTAGGGAACTACCCTAGGATATATGGTTTTTACTACAAAAAATTCAATGCCTAGGTGACTAGGCAACAAGGCACCCCCTATCGTCTAGCCTCGCCTTGGCGCCTTGAAACTACTACCCAATGAGAGATATTTTGCTTTCCAGTTTGCCAACCTCGTCTCCACTCTTTCTATAAGAGGTCTCCAAATGCTAAGTGATGTTGATTTAGCCCCAGACGGGAGACCCAAGTACAAAAAAGACAGGTCCCCAATCTGACATTCCAATGCTGTTGCAAACAGTGCAATTTCTTCTTGACTAATTTCCCTTATTCCAATTATAAGTTTTTGTTTTCAGATTCACTTTCATCCCTGACAACAACTCAAAATTAGCCACAATTGCTCTTAAATTCAACACCTGTTCCACATCTGCGTCTAGGAAGATGAG